ACAGAATTCTGCGGTGCATAAATTTGCTCGCTCTAAAAATACAGTATTGTCTCAGTAAGTGATTCTAAAAATATTTTTGCCTATTGTCTTCGTAGGAAAAAAGTGATTTTAATCATTTTTTAGTAGGTTTACTTAGTACAAAAATCCTATATTATTTATTCCTGTATTCTTAAAATTATATCCGAAAATAAGCACCTCTTATAACAAAAAGGGGGGTGCTTAATTTCGGAACTATACGGTATTGCTTATTTAATTTTAAAGGCTAAAATAATTTAGCACACGTGATTTAGAACTTTTTAATAAATTCTTGGGAATTTTTAAATAAAAATGACTTTATAAATTTAGTCAACTTTTTTTAATAACCATATTAATTTAATTGATCTTTTTGTTCGTTATAATCAGTGATGTAAATTGGATCGGCACAGTAGGTGCAGCGCACATGGATTTAAATTTGCGCATATATCAATGCTCCTCGTATATATAACACGCGTATAAATTTTTTCTTTGTGCATATTTTTTTTGCATTTGCGCCAATAAAAGTTTTTTGAATTTACAACACTGGTTATAATGCCTAATTATTGAGATGCAGTTTTAAAAATCAGCACATTTATGTGCAAAAATATCTATTTATATGAAAATGGCAAGCTTATTTTTGTTCATTTGCACAATACATGCACAACGAATTTTTAACACTGGCTTGAATATCACTTTGAATTGTCTAAAAAGAATAATATAGACACAGTAAGTAGCACCATTTTCAATAGGTCACGTTTTAGGGAACTGACACTTATTATATAAATAATATGAACTTTATATGATTGGCTATTTTAAAGCTTGCAATGGCAAAAGATTGATTATTTTAGAACTCGTAATTGTGTCAAATGACAAACTCTGAGGGTTTATATTTACGAAATATGTGTAGAGTTTAGAACCGGATTTGACCTTCAGATTTAAATCCGATTTTCTTCAGATTTGATTTAATTTCGGATGTAAAACCGATCTATCGAATCTGCAATACTCACATAAAATGCATAGGAAACAAAAGTATTCAACCACCTATAGAATTTCTACAACCAAAATATTTTGTTCTTAAGTGATCGAATATTTTTCACTAAAGTGTATGTACATACGTATATACAATGGTGCTACTATCAACCTAGGCACAACCGGATATTATCAAATAAATTCAGATTTAAATCTGATGCATATTTTTATTAATTAAATTTAATCCGAATCGAAAAACGAAATCCGGTTCCAAACTCTAAATATGTGTCGATTGCTGCTTCATATAAAGCATTTTTACTATCTCAAATTGAAGAAGTATTTTGTGAAAATATCTTATATTAGTGTCAACAAAAAATCATGATAGCAATTGGTGTTTATAATTTGCATGAGAGCTAGCCATTCACAAAGTATTGTTCTTAAATTACATTAGTAGTAAAATTTGAGATTCTTATTGTTATCTGAATTGTTCGTAATAGTTTAGATACCAATTTTAAAGAGTCAAAAATGACACTATAAACAATAGGAAGAAAGCTACTATTTCAATAGTTGTTTTAGACATAGCCAATTGTGTTAGGGAACTAACACTTATTACGTAAATATAGCCCCAGAGTCAGTCGTTTGACACAATTGTTTGATAATTACAAGTTTTAAAATAAATAATCAATTGTTTGACAATTACAAGTTCTAAAGTAATCAATAATTTTTAGAACCTGTAGTGTCAAACGACACTCTGGGTCATATTTATGTAATAAGTGATAGATCTCTTAATAATGGCAAAAAAAATATAATAATGGTTTTGTTTCTTGAAGTATAAAAATTTTATAAATATGATAATGATTAAAAAAATATTTAAACGCTAGTTTGGTGAAATTTTTGTCTAGTAATCAATTTTTAGATTTATGTTTCTTTAAGATGGAAATAACTCATTTATCTTTAAGTCCTGATGATACTTACGATGCTGACATGATTGACAGAAGAATATTTATCGGTGAACCTAATGATGACGATATTTTTAATCGATTTTTAGAAAAAAAGATCTCAAAAAATTATATAAGCTTTTTTTGGAGCAAGTTATACCTCTCACTAAGAAAATTATGGACATCTCTCATCACCCTAATGATGAAAGATTATACAATGAATTAAATGGCCATTTTTTTGTCATCACTGATCCATCTGTTCAAGAAATAATCGATGGTGATTATGAGTTTTTTGTTGGCAGTAACGATTTTATTCCTGAAAGACATTGTATTCATAGCCGCATTCGGCAAACATTCTTATGGTATTTGACTTGGTCTGGAGGAAATAATGATAATTGAAGTATAGATAGAAGTAATATGGTTAGACATTTTAGATACTTTTTAGTGCATCGCTGTATGAGTAATATTTTGGAAAGTGCTTATAACATGTATGTTGGAATTTTTAACACAAAAATAGATATTACTTTTTTTCTTGATTATTTGAGGTATATTACGGATCTTAGATTCGAAAGCATTGGTCAACAATATGATAATTATATAAATTCTATGAATAGATGATTAATAATTTGATAGTTTTCATCAAATAAAATCACAAGAATAATGCTTTATACAAAATTTATTTGAAGTCTATATAGTATAATTCAAAAGAGATAATCGCATAGTCAATTACCTTAACCCTATGACAGTTCAAAGTTTCAATCTTTCATAGGCGTAAATGAAATAAAACTTTTTAACATCAGAAAAGATTGTTAGATTAATATAGAACTTAAATAATATATAGTTATTGGATGCGAAGCAGCCAATAACAGAAATTATTTGTAAAATAATTTCATTATCTGGCTGTGAAATTTAATATGTCAGCTTCTGGGGCCCGAAGGGGCCCAGAAATGATACATATTAAATTCGCTGCCAGATAAACAAGTTATTGGCTGCGTAGCATACAATAAGGGTGTTATCCGGTGGTTTACGACGATTGTGTTTGCCAAATGACTCGAGTTTTTGGTAGTGATTATGTAAGCTGCCAAATAATGAAGTTATTTGGCAGATGACGTAATCACTGCCAAATAACTCAAGTTATTTGGCAAGCACTATCATAGTAAGCTGCCGGATAAATATTAATTATTATCGGATATGACTGTGATATATTACTGAAATACATGATTCTGAAGCCTTAAAAATTTATCTTATATGAAATTCCATCAAAATCATCAAAATACCTCTACGCAGTCATCCTCCCTCTTTTGAAGTTAGTGCTATCCCTAATATACTTTCTGGCAAAACCTGGACAAATCTAAATTCAAAAAATTGCTATTTATAAAAGATTAAATTTAAAAAGTAATCTTAATATTTTGCAAATATATAGTAATTCGGACAAGTATAATCCTAACGGGGTGGGCAAGGTAATAAATAATGTAAGTAATAAATACTTATTTTTTTACCTAGCACTTACACATACATACTATTACTAATTATTGATTATGATGAATAATTATTACTTATTACGATTTTCAAATGTAATCTGGAGAGAAAATTTTAAACTCATAATTAGATTGAATTTTGCATATATCATTATTTACTTATTATTACCCATAATTATAGTTGTTAGACGAAACCATGTAATGTTAAATGTCACATATCAAATCTTAATGAAAATTAGATTAAATTTTTAGGTCTTGGTATTTTGTGACAGGTGATATTTAGCATCACATGGTTTCGCCTAACAACTAACAACTATAGGTTACCCATCACACAAAATATTAGAAAAAATAATTAGAAATAATACGTAATAATATGTAACTAACTTTGCCCATCTTTAATCAAAATTAAGGAATTTATTGACTGATCATTAAGCAGTTCTTTAAATCGCATTAAAATACATTTAGATCTGTATTAGATCCTGAATTGAATCTATCAAATAAATCCATCCAATCAAATTAATTTTGTATTCTTATCGTTATATTTAATTCAGGATCTAAATCCTATTAAAATTTTTTATTTTAGCTCTATGAATTCATAGAATCAAAATTTTGATAGGTAGTTACTGAGATATCTTCACTCAAATTTGAAAAAAATTTATTATCAAGGATCGTCTACGTATCACTAAATTGTTTGCTGGAATTGGAATAGATCGAGTATTAGTGCGACCATATTTTTGTCGATAAAATATGCCACTACACCACCTTTGTTCAAAAGTTTGGTTTTTTTTTACATCTATTTTGATAGCTGTTTGAGACTTTGAGTGAAGATATCTCAGCAACCACTAATAAATTGAATTTTTATTTATTTAATTATACAAGATTTGTATAAAATACATATATATCGAATTCTGTTAGGTGGTTATCGAGATATTTTCTCTCAAAGTTATAAAAAAAAACTTTTATAGGTAATTGCCGCAAAAAATTTTATTTTTAATACTACATTATTTAATATTTGCATAAATACTCAAAATAAGAACGAATAAAAATGAACAAAAAAAAAAAAACAGTAGAAGCAAGGTTGAGAAAAAAAAAATAACCACTAAACAATCAAAGAATTGAGCAAAAATAGTAAAGAACTATCGCTAAAGCGACAAAAAAAAGTACTATTTAAGCAACGAAAGAACTGCTACTAAAAGCAACGAAAGAATCATCACTAAAACAACAAAATAACTACTGTACCACTAACGAAAAATAAAAAAACTGCCTCTAAAGTGACAAAAGAACTGCCACTAAAAGCAACGAAAGAATCATTACTAAAACAACAAAATAACTACTGTACTATTAACGAAAAATGAAAAAACTGCCTCTAAAGTGACAAAAGAACTGCCATTAAAGTGACGAAATAAAGCGTCAAAAACATCTTAAAGACAAAAAGCCATCTTTAAAGATAAAAGATTATACAATGAATTAATTGGAGTATAGATATGAGTAATATGATTAGACATTTTAGATATTTTTTAGTGCATCGCTGCATGAGTAATATTTTGAAAAGGGCTTATGACATGTATGTTGGAATTTTTAACACAAAAATGGATGTTACTTTTTTTCTTGATTATTTGAGGTATATAACGGATCTTAGATTCGAAGACATTAGTCAAGAATATGATAATTATATAAATTTTATGAATAGATGATGTGTATAATCATTTGATAGTCTTCATGTTAAACTTGTGATAATAACAAATCACGAAATAGTAAATTCATTTGATATCAATATTGTATATTCAAAAAAGAGATAATCTCCATAAACAAAATAAAATTTCACGCAATTTTCTACACCAGAAAAGATTTACAGTTCTAGCCCTATGCGTTGACGAAGTCACGCTAGAGTTATTATCGCGAGGATCACCATTTGTAGCTTATATGAATTAAGGCTTATACGAATTAAGGTATATGAACTAAGATTGTATGGGTAAGACAATAGAGATAGATGTATATGATTGTATGCTATAGAGATTAGAGATATGCATGTGATGGAGATTATGAATATTCATATGATCGAGATTATAGATATGCAGGTAGGTGCATAAAATAGAGATTATAAAGATATGTGGGGAGATAATTGGAAAATTTAGTGCTTTCTTACTTTGCTTGTCTTGTTCACTTGTTCTCTTCATTGCCTGATCAATAATGATCTGGCTTCTTCGTACTTAACCTTAACCCACCGCACCCCCTTTATAAATTCGTTGCATCAAATGCACTGCCAGTTGTCATATGTAGTAAGTTGAATGTGCCTCACCATAGCGTGGGCTCGAACTTAAAAAAAAAAAAAAAAAAGAAAAAAAAGTAGAATACGCCACACCACAGTGTGGGCTCATACTTTCGATCCTCATTTTCTACTTCGTCACGTGAGCAAAACCACGTGAACATATTGAAAAAAGAATTCATAGTAACAAATTGATAAAGAATATATGGTGGTAATAAAAGGAGCACAATATATGTCATGATAGAAGAGAAAGTAGTGAAGTGGAGCACTACTCCCATCATGTATCTTCATAATGTTCAATAAAGAGATCTGAGCGAGAATAATTAAATAAATCTATATCAGGCATAATTTATCATATACTGTATGACCGAGTTCTGGTAGTTTAATATTGATTTTCAAATCTGGTTAAACTGTTAACATCCTTAAAACAAGAAAATAAGATAGAAATCCATATACTAATGCTAATTATAATTGATTTCCAAATCTGGTTTAGCTTTTAACAAGGGATTATGATTATCTAATACTATATCGATATCCAATGGATCATTTCCAAATGGAAACCCATAGTAAAAGGAAGCAACGAACTAATGAAAGAAGTATTAAAGTCCAATGGGATTTACTATTAAACTTAGTGGTCACATCTCTATTAAATATTACTTTAAAACTGAAATCACGTAATATTAAAAAATCATATCAGTCGCATTTAGGCGAAAAAAAAAAATCATATTGTTGTCGTTCACTTCACTGACAGTCATTTTACTAAAAATTTATTTATCTGACACTACAAGGTAGGTTAGCATTTTTGCAGGTACGTACGTACTGTATGTATGTATGTATACATTTTTAGAAAATTGACACTTGGCGTGATGTTGGCTAAATGAGCTGTCTGAGCTGTCGGTGAAGTAATGCGGATCCCTCAATAGCTGCCTATCGCTATTTAAAATTTATGAAAACTTTTCTTATTTTAATTCTACGGATTCATAGAAATAAAAATTCTGAGGTGCTACCTCAAAAATTTGATTTTTTGATACTACAATATATTTTTTTTTGTTGCCGTGGTTTTTCTTAAAAACTAATAATTCAATGATAATTGAATAAAGTAAATAAGTGAATAAAATATTTTACACGATTGTGATAGTCTATTTGTTCAGAATCGCGTAAATTTTTTACTTCGTTTGATTATTACTTTAAAACATCTAACAATTAGCATGACATCAAAATACAACAATTAAACAATCATTTACAATGGTTCCACACACACTAGCACGCATAAGGAATTCATAAGTTGCCACTATATCGGATTCATGTTTCCGCATTATTAATAATAATACACGAACATCGTGGGCAATAATACATTCAAAATCAGCATCAGCACTAATCGATTTTTATTTGTCCTAATAATAACAATAATCAAGATAACAACAATAATAGAAGATTTAACTGGCAGCTTGGAGTGGCCATTGTTTCATTAACATTAGTTTGCTTGTTTATTATTAAGGTAATACCTTGATCTAATTAATTAGCATTGTATCCATATTTTTAAAACATTTTTATTTGAATAGGGTTATCTGAATAATGTTAGCGTTAATGAAGTTTTAACATACGTAAGTATATTTGTAATGTCTTTCTGATATTTAAACGAATCAATTCTAATTATATTGCATTGTTGTTAGTCTAACGAAAGATTATGTAAGTGTTCTTTATATTTGTTGATAATTAAACGTAATCATTCTAATTATCATATATTGTATAGAGAAATTTTTGGAATACGAGAACCCTCGAATCGGAGAATACAGATTTAAAGGTAAAAAATACAGCCTTTGAATCTGAGAATACAAATTTAAAAGTAGAAAATGTGGAACTCAAATCAAGAAATGCAGCTCTCGAAGAAAACAATGCGGACCTTAAATCAAGAAACTCGGCCTTCGAACAAAGCAATGTGGACCTTAAATCAAGAAACTCGGCTCTCGAACAAGACAATGTGGAACTCAAATCAAGAAACGTAATTCTAGGAGAAATCAATTTGGACCTTATAACAAAACTTATAGTTATCGAAAAAGAACCGTCAAAGAAAGAAATGTAGATCTTAAAATGAAACTTACTAAGACTGAAGACGAACGTGAGGCTTTCAAAACAAAGCTTGGGATTAGTGAAAAAGAACGTCAAGCTTCCGAAAGGACCATTGCAGAACTCAAAACAAGACTTACGCCATTGAAGATGAAAATGCATTTTAAAAAAAGTCTCAAAGACTTAAATATGCAAAAAATGAAAGACAATAAAATAAGCCAAAAAAGACTAGATACAATAATGAAACTGAAACAAAATTATCAGGAACAGCAAGAACTACTCGAAAAATTGAGGAAAGAAGAAAATGCTAAAAAATATGAATCAATAATGAGAGACGTGAACGAAGCTATAAATGAATGTAATGGAGGATGTTAAAGAGCTCGAAACTAAGAAAAATATACAAATAAATGTTAAATAGAAACTTGAAATATCATCCACGCAATTTGTCATATGTAAGATAATTTAAAAGATTTTATATTTCGAAAATATTATTATTATTTTTAACTTTTATTTTTTTATTTTTTTTACTTATTTTATTTTTCTTTCTTTCTCATTTTTATTTGTTTCTGTACCTCCCGGTAACCCACCACCCTGGTATATATATAAACATGTGTTTTATTTTAATAGTTTTTTTTATTTTATTTTTTGTTATTCTAACATCTTTCTTATAGATTTATATTTTGCTGGTATACTAAAATAGTACTGGCAATGAAGATCTGCAAACTGGTATAAAAAATACCAGTTCAATCTGCTATCTTTTTTTGTATTAGTTTTTCATTTTACTAATATTTTCTTTCTTGTAGATTTGTGTTTCACTGGGCTGGCACCAAAAATGGCACTGGGAATAGTGATTCGAAATAGTGATTTGGAATTGGTATAAACAGATAAGTACTAGTTCTAGTTGCCCTGTCTCTTTTTTTATGTGTTATTTTTTGTTCTGCTAATATTTTCTTTCTTATAGGTTCATATTTCGCTTGGCTTGGTTTGTAAATAACAATGGGAATAGTAATTCAGAATAATTTTGAACATAAACAGGTATAAAAGATAGTATCAGTTCAAAATACTTTGTTTTATGTTTATTCTACGGCCTTTTTTTTTTTTGTACTATAGGTTTGTAGTTTACCAGATTGGGTATGTAAATGGTGCTGGGAATGGTGATTCAGAATATGAATTGGTATAAAAAAAATCAGTTCTAGTTGCTTTGTCTTTTTTTTTTATGTTATTTTTCATTTTACTAATATTTTCTTTCTTGTAGGTTCGTATTTTGCTAGGTTTGGAATGGTGATTTGGAATGTGAACTAACATAAAAAAAGAAGTGCCAGTTCTAGTTGTCCTGTCTTTTTTCTTGTATTATTTTTTCATTCTACTAACATTTTCTCTTTTGTAGATTTGTATTTTGCTGAGTTTGGGTACAAAAAATGGTGCCAAGAATAATTTGGAACCTAAGCTGACATAAAAAGATAAGTGTTAGTTCTATAGTATGTACAACCTAGTCACAGCAAATAAAATTAATGAAATTCAAATTGCTAATCCTTCTTCAAAAAAAATAGTAAACAAAA